CCAAAGGACTGAGACTTCTGCCTGCCTGCCATGCTGCAGTAAACATATACGGCATGCAATTCCCATTCTTCAGAGTTTTTGAATACTTACTATGGCAAGCAGTTCACATACCTCGGAGTTTTAGCACCTGTATTTAAGGGCAATTGAAATGTTCAATGTCCACATCTCCTCAATGGCTCCTGGGTTGTTGAGAGGAGGCAGAACTAGTCAAAAGGGACACTGACATCGATGCAGCACACAATGCAGACGATGATGTGTTGATTGACCAGTGTGAGGATAGCGAGAAGTGCACAGGCTCACAGCTCAATGAGGATATTGAGCTTCCTCCTTTCACTGTTGAAGAGTGCAAGCACGCTCGTGTCTCTCTCTCGAAGGTGTGCTTTATTTTATATTTGACCTTCACGGATGATAACTGATATATCATTAGGCCATCGGTCTTTCAAAGACTGTTCAAAATAGCTTGTTCAACTCCGAGGCATGGGAGGCAAAATCAAAAGAGCTCGACTTCACCCTTCTTGTGCTTGTCAAAGTAACTGAGACATGGTGGAACTCACATACCCACTGTATGCTCTGCATTCTTGACCGACAGGATGTCGTCTCCAAGATGTGCAGTGATCGGGATCTCAAGTTGAGGCAGTACACATTTTCGGATGAGGAGTGGACAATCCTCAAACAACTTGAGCAGATTCTGGGGTATGTTCAACGATATTGTATTTCAAAATACTAATCATTCATAAGACATTCATTCTTGCGACCAAGAAAATATCTCAGGCCGAGGTTGCTCTGGTCTTTGAAGTCATTCCTCTCATAGACAAATTCATGACCATGTTCGGTGAAATGATAGACAACACATCCCTGCACATTGCCATTCGTCATGCTGCCAATATGGGGCTCACTGTTCTCAACAAGTATTATTCCTTTACTGATGACATTGAGATATATCGGATTGCAATGAGTACATCAAGTCAAGTAATGGAATCCTGCTAACCTGGTTTATTAGTCTTCACCCGCACTACAAAACATTTTACTTCTTGACAGTTAGATGGGAACAGACCTGGATTGATGAAGCTCTTTGACTTCTGCGCCTCGCATGGACTTCTAAATACAAGCCACAACCGACTTGAACCAATCCCTCTGTGTACTCTTTCTATCCCGAACACATCACAAATGCAATCTGGTTCTGGTTCCTGTGTACACCTCCCATTCATTTCTTTCTGGTGTGATTTCTGATTATCTGAACCCATTAGCGTTCCAAAATCAGTTTCAATGTCACAATTGACTATGGACAGACAGCTCCGTTAGCACCTGATGCTCTCAAAGCATGGCTGACATCTGCAGCACTCCCTTATGAAAATGACCCGATTGGATATCATTCGAGACAGCGCAAGCAGTCAAGACAGCACAAAACTTGGAAGGTGAAATATTTTCACAAATGTGTCTTGATTATTTCACGGCACCGGTGAAACGGTGCCTCTGGCTATGCCTATGAAATATGACTTGCTCTGCTATGCACAAAACAACCACACAACACACACACTTAATGCACAACCAAGGCGAACTGAGTTCAGGGTCTTGTCGTAGTATATGACTAAGATTGAATTCTCTGACTTGTAGTTGGAAACTCGCACTTCGAAGTCTAATAGACTCAAAAGAGGTCCTTCAGCAGTGTAACTGACTGAGTTGTCCACCTAAGTACCGAGGTAAATAGGGTATTTGGATAGTTTTAGGGTTCCGCAGAGCTAAATATAGCCAGCGGAGGGTTCCGCGGAGACAGCTGTATGTCTCTGTGGTGGGTATATGGCGCTGAACCAAACTCTCTATGCAAGACGTTCGAACAGTGGACTCTGGCTTCGTTACCAAAGTACCTTTAGGTCACTGACACCGCTACAACGAGCCTGACAGTGGACTTGGGCTTCGTTACCCAAGTGCCTTTGGGGCAAAGTCACAACCTCGACGGGCTTGACAATGGACTCTGGCTTTGTTACCAAAGTACCTTTAGGGCAAAGTTCTCACTCAAAGAGGTTGAACGATGGACTTGGGCTTCACTACCCTAGTACCTTTAGGTTTTGTACGTGGACACTTCTTACAGTGAACAACGCGAGCTTAGGTGCCTTAAAGCTAAATTAAGAGCCAACAACCAAATCTCTGTTAATGAGCAACTACAAACGAAAGATTGTATGATAACAAATCTCTGTAAAGCCGACCAGAGGACACCAACACCGTATAAGCAAGCTTTAGACCGTAGTCACAGCAATACTGGGGGCAAGGATGAACTGAGGCATTGCGGGTTCTGGCAGGCCTTTTATACTACTTCTGATAAATACATGATAAACTGATAATGACTAAATGAGTAGGGATATTTGATATGCGGCAGCCACGTAAATGGATGCTGAGTTGCTTGATGAGATTCTGAAGCCGAACGAGTCATCTTGTTTGACTCGTCAACCTATAAAGGGTATATTTGAATTGCCCGCGGAGCTGCCGACACAATTCGTGTATTGCCGTCCTGACGTTTCCTGCCGGCCTGGTTGGTAAGTGTACCAAGCCCTGATAAGCAATAACTGCTAAACAGGTCCGCGGAGCCGTCTGGCCACGCATATGCTATGTCCCAATCTGGTTTCCTGCACTAGATCCGAAATAGATCGATCATGCTTGTCTTTGTTGTCTGATCTGAGCGCGTCTGTCTCATCACGTGTGGTCTGGGCCCTGCTAGGTATCGACTGTGTTCGATCCTCGCAGTTCACAATCAATATGAATAAGATAGTTCAAGCTGGACGTCGAGCTATGGATCCGCTGAGCTGTCTGAGCCTTCTGCGTGCTATTTATAGCCTCTGCGGAGCATGCGTTCCATGTACAGTAAGGGACAATCAAAGACATCAACTTGGCTAGTGGCCAGAGTTTTGTTTCAATTAAAAAACGGACTTCAGATTCAGATTCAGTACCCTAAGATAAGCCTATATACCATTTTTCCGATTTTTTTGATGAGGGATTACATTTGGCCAAAATTTTGGCTGGACAGAACAAAATTGTGTGTACCCCTTTTGGCCTCTGGTGACCTACCTACTGCCTGCCAACGCTGCCGATGCATCCAAAGCTGCTGCAGCATGCTTGGAGGCTTGGCGATGGGCACTCTGACATTTGGCTGCCCATGCTGCAGCAGCCCCAGTGAGGCCATTCTGATAGGCATCCATCCATCTCCATGTCTGATTGATAAAGTGCTAGATGATTTCTGCAGTGCATGCATCTAGATACTTGACAGCTGCCTGCTTTGCATCCTCAAATTTAGGCTTGTCCTCCTCTCAGAAGCGATATTTGACTCAACTCCAGTACCGGAGGAGATTTCAGCAGATGCCATGAATAAATCAAATTAAACATACCATCTCGATTGGTTCAATTCACAATGAAATTTGGGAAGGAAAATAATTTCATGGCCCCATCTATTCACTAGTTCCTCAAGCATGGATACCTGGTTCTTGAAGTCATCTTGGTGGCTCAGCCAACAAGCCATGCAGCACTCTTCGGACTTTGGTCATGTGTGACACCATGTGACTTTTGTATCCCAAATTTCTCCCGAACGGCTCGTGAATTTATTTTCAAACTCAGTCAGAAGACGCTCCTGAATGAGAGATTTAAAATGAGCCTCCTTTCGTCCAGATTGAAGCAGAACTGGGGAAGTTGGCCAAATGTTGATACCTGTTTAACTTGTCGTGTGATTTCCGGCCAAACGGCTTGTCAGGAAAATCTGAAAATATTTGGGAAAGGACTATTCAATGAGATCTATTGATTGCCAAAGTTTTGGAATTTTTGAAGAAAGTAAGTTTCAATTTGATGTCTTTGACTGTCCCTTACTGTAGTTCAACCTCGTAGCCTCAGTCCTTCCCACAACTCTGTAGTTGATAATAGATTCAATCCTCGTCTTTGGTCTGGGCTTTTGTGTTTATATCTCTCCTTGTTTATGTGTCTAGCCTTTGCAGCGCAATCCGCCCCTACATATAGGTTGTGGACTGAGTCTGACGGTGCTTCCTAGTACATGACAACGATCCCGACCCCCAATTGGTAAGGGCCAAGCATCCCACGAACATACACTGATTCACACCTCTCGCATGATTGACACTCAATCAGCAGCTCGGAGCTCACTCTGACTCTCTTATGTATCACCGAACAGGGGTCCACGGAGTATAATTAGCCTCAGCAGAGCGTCATCCAACAGTCTGCGGACCCATTTCTGGATCCTTAGAAAGTCAAAAATGCGCAATTTCACGGCTGGACTAATCTGGGCCGTATCACCGGGTACGTTGGCTTGAACTTTTATCCTGATTCTGTTCTCATTCCATCTCATAGCAACTTCGGTTGATGCTGAACAGCTCTTCTCCTTCTCGGGAGGAACAGTGTCAAAACTCTGCAACCAGCTGTCTGAAGATTCAGCACAATGACATGCTGCTGTGATGGTCGGTCAGTGGGCAGGTGACCCAGATCTCATTGCAGTTGAAGAATTTGAGACACAACTTGCTGAGGGCTGGTTGCGGAAAAAGAAGAGGAAAGCTGACATTCCAGTGGATGGGCAAGCAGCATTGAAAGTCATTGTGGTTGCAGACAACAGCAAGTAGTTGGTGTGTAGAATAGCACTTGAAATGCATATTATTCGTGAATAATTCACAAATAATGAGTATTCAAAAGTCGCTGAATGCGAATAGTTGGTATTCACAAATATTCGTGAATATTACTGACTGATCAACAAATATCTGTACTGGATATTCGTACGAATGCGAATATCACTTTTAGGTTTTCAGTGAATATTCATATTTGTGAATATATATTTGTGGTATTCTCTATACCCAGGTCTTTCTGGGGGTTGCTTTGAATTTACTCTGTCAAGTTTGAAATGTTTAATGGTTCATGACCATTGGACACAGGGCACGGCACAGGGCTCGGACCGAGCCGCACACTGAGCCTGTACAAGATCAGGGTGTAGCGGTGTAAAAATGATCACAGAAGCAAAATACACTCAAGGGGAGTCGAACCCCTGCCGCTTGCTCACCTAAATTACGCAAAGCTGATTACGTAAGCATAGACTGGAAGGCAAGCATGATAACCGCTTCACCATGAGTGTATGATGGTTCAACCCAGGTTATTGAATAGAGGTTGCAATAGCCCTGCGTTGAAAGACATTCATTTGATTTCCACCAATCCTCCTAGAATGCATTCTGTTGGACATGTGGGACATATTGTAACCCTGACATGCAACTCTCACTGACTGTTGAATTTATAGGCCAGGTTCATAGAGTATACAACTCCAACTATTTGTGATCAAGGGTCGAGTGATTCAACCCTCAGTGTTTTTGAGTGCAGCAAAAGCTGGGGGGATCCAGCATATCGGTCCGAACATCATAGTTACACAAAGTAGTGTAGTTTTTGTTTCTCTATTATATGAGCCAAGATGTTTTTCATGTCTTGTTGGGTGGTCTGTGTGCAGATGACCAGCTTGAGTTGGTGTAATGGCCCAAAACCTCCTAGGTGCATTCTGCTTAGAATTAAAAGTTATCCCATTTTAATATAGGAAGTTTTTACACTTTTGAAGAGCGTCTGGTGCTCTGGGAGGCCAAATTTTTCTGAGCTCACACCTCTGAAATGGCGGGGAAACAAAACCCTATCAAAAAGGTGACACAACAGCCCAGTCTGTGAGTGAAGGACCTCCCTGCTTGTTTCTCTTTTTCTGATTGCTGTCTTTGTTTGTGTGATTGTTGTCTGTGTTTACATGATGTCCCAATTAGGTCTGAGGTCCTTTTGCTAGTGTCAACTGGTTAACAAGTCTATATCATCCCAGACAATGACCACAATGATCTCACCACATCTCAGAGGAAATTGAATTTCAAATTGTCTAGAACAAAAACATACATTTATTCAGAAACACAGACCTGGATAAAACTAAGACTAAAAGGACTTGAAAGCCTTTCCCCAAAGCAGGTGCATACACTGTTCTGTTTAAATCTCTAGTCTGCTTTAACATTCAACAGACCCGTATTTTTTTCCCACAGACAGCTCTGTGGTAGGTGCCTCCAATGTGCTCAGCTGTGCAAGTGTTGTGTCAATTTGGACTATGTCCTTTGTTTGCAAAGACCGTTGAAACAGTGGAAGGGCCTCTTTCCAAAGCTCTACTGCAACCACCAAATGTCCTCTGTCTTTTGCAATATCCCCCAGGTGAATCATGCAGTCTGCTCTGCTGTGATGAATATCCATATGTATGAATCCCTCCAGTGCCACCACAAAAAGATTGTATGCTGTGTCTTTATCTCCTTCAGAGAGAAAACCATTGCCAAGAAAATGGAGGGCTTTGTGAACTGCTATTTTCTGCTGTGTTTTCTGTGCTTGCACCATATATATGACTGCCCCTGTATATGGCCAGTTGATTTTGGTGGAACTCAACTGACTGGCCAGGTGCTCTAAACAGTAGGACACAATTTCAGGATCCTTTCCCCAAGCTGCATTAAAACACTGAAGTAATGTGTTCTTAGCAAGAGATGTATGACCCTCCCTGAGCTGAAGACCTGCTAAAACAGTTTCAAATTGATTGGCCAAAAGAGGATATTTCATGGTGGTGAGGATTGTGATTGCATTGACTAAATGTGGTTGCACACCACAGGCATCTGCACCCATGTAAATATCAACTTCAGCAATATTGCCCAGTGTAATGGCAATATAACATGGGTCTTGCTGAGCAGAAGCTTGTTGTGCAAGCTCTATATGAATCCCTCTAGCTCTTGTTCATTTCCATGTCGTGCCTTTAAAGGTATTTCTTTTTCTCATCCAGTCAGGACACATCCAAAAATGTCTTTCTCCAAATTTATTTCGCTCCAAGGCTCCGCACCAACTGCTCAGAGTTGCCGGAGTGTGTTTGGCATCGGCATTACTCCTCAGCCTGCCGCAGTTGAATTTAACGCCTTACCCAAGAAGAATTGCTGGAGTTCATTTTGATCAGTTCTACCTCATATTAGAATAACATCTGGGACTGCTCATCCCGCTGCTTGGCAGTCGGAGTTGTCCAAGAGTTGTCCGTCCTGTGTTGGAATCAATAGAGCAATCCAATATTAGCAGTGAACCCGTTGCAAACACGCAGGGAATTCAAAGAGTAACTACGACTTAAATATGACAAGAGTAGTAGTTAATTAGTACAAATAAAGACGAATTAAAGGCACGATAGGTACAGCTATAGCAATAAAGGTAACAAGATATGCCGTCGCTTCGCTCCGGCGAGGTGTCCTCATTAATACTTAGACGTCATCCGCTCCCTTTGCTCCGGTGGCTGAATGAAACGAAAAAAATCCCTCACATTGTTGAACCGAGGCAAGTATAAAGCACATAGTTTACGAGGTTTCGGCTGGAAGCGCAGGTTCATGAACTACGAATTTAGTCTACTCAATTATGGAGGTGAGCGGTGGGAATTTTGGACAACGTCTCGGTCAGCCAGATACTGTGCTTCGGGATCAATTTACATGCAGATTAACACATACTCAACGTCGAAACAATACCGTACGTAGTCAATGTGCTATACCTCGTACTCCTCAGGGACCCAATTCATCCTGTGCAGAATCAGAACACAGCTGGGAAGGGGCGTACCTGAAAAAACATTCTCCCGAGTCCGCCGTTCGGTTAATCGCTACCTGCCGCTCGAAGCACTTGCGCACGCCGGCGCGATGAGCTGGATACGAGTGAGGGTGAGTGACTAGTGATCGATAAATGAAGCGCGCCGGTGTGCAGGACGTACCGTGTCGGGACAGGTCTGTGTAGTGCGGAAGGGGAGGTGATTACATGTGCAGGACTTGCAGCGGCCGTGTGCACAGGTGTGAAGGCGCCGGTATCTGGCGAGCGAGTCGAGAGCTGAACATCGAGGAAAGGAGGTTCAATAGATACGCACCTGATCCCTGCTCATGATTCCTTCGCAGCACTTGACACATGTGCCTATGCATACGAGGCACAGCTGCATATAAATGTCTGATCAGCGATTAATTTAACAGAAGATGAGGTCTGCACTTAACCAGGTTCAACTCGGCCCGCGATGCCCGCAGGGGCGGACGAAGTAGAAGGAGCAGAATCGGTAAACGAACGACGAGAGACTGGAGAGTTGAAGGTACGGAAGTCTGGGGGCGCGGTTGTGCATTGAACGACGCGGAAGCACTTGAGGAAGTTGCAGCCAGCGATCTTGAAGTGTTCTACCAGCCAAGCAGAGCGGTTGAAATGCAAATCGGAGCCGGGATTGAGCATGGCCTCTTCATCGGTTTTGACGCACGGAAAGTCTAGATCTCGAGAGAGGGGAAGAAACGTTGCCGGATTATGGGTGGATAGGGAGGAGAGCAGCAGGGGACAGAGCAGTTTGGGTGGAGTGCGCTGCGTCCAGGCTTGAGACTCTTGATGGAGAGGAACGGCGTACGAGACCAGGATTAAATGCGGCGCAGAAACATCAAGCGGAGTCAACGATTGAGAGGTGCAGCGTCTTGGTCTTGATCCGCACATCTTGCCTTCCAGACAAAGTGACGACAAATCGACAACATAATTAAGACGCGACAATTTCGTTTTGGACACTTAATTTGGTATTGTCACCGACCATCCCTCCCTGCATTTTATAGCCACCACTATGCAGACTACGTCCCAGAGCGCTCTGTGCATCACGATCGAGCGAGTAGTATGTTTGTTTGATGCCCTCCTTGGTACTTACTGTCTATCTCTGCACCTCAAAACGCCTCTACCGACCTCGCAAATGGAGAATCATCCCCTCTAGCTCTGTTATGGAAATGATGTTCTACGTGTTTGTGCGCCGCTTCCCCTCTAGCCCTGGTATTTTTCTCAACACCTTTTATAGTATTGTTGTGATCGTCACTCATCTTCATGTCCCCCTCGGTCGATACAGCCATAAGCTGCAGCACCACTAAGTAGTTCTTTCTTATTTCGGGAGTGTGTTCACACATAGTACAGCCAGTCATTTCAATCAGACTTTTATGTCAACAAAGAGGTTACAGTATGAAGAAAGGAATAACCTATTTCTCTGTTGTAAAGAACAAACTACAGGCAGTGACACTTGAGTACTGTGGATTAAGGACCCGAATTTTGGGACTCGCGCGCGACGATGGAACCCTCCTGGGTCTATAGAGACCTGAACCTGTCTCTCTGAAGGTGTGTGAGCAATGGCTGGTTGAAAAGTTGCATGAGGGGTGATGGATTCGCAAAACTAGGAACACAGTACCTCTCTGTGACCCCAATTCCAAATTGTGGACTAGGACAAAAACACCGGCACCGATCAGTTCACGAAAAGAGACAATCTGGTCCGCTTCCAGATCCATGCTATAATTGAGTCTCCAATTAACGAGAGATCCGGTCGGCAAGGCGACGAACGGCTTGTCAGAGCGGATAGTCAAGGAGCGGAATCGATATGAATCTTGGCTAAGCTGATATGTGAAGCGAGTGTACCGGTCAAATCCAATGTCAAGGCATATGGACTGCTGCGGAACAACCAGAGTTTTAACGCCCTCCAACGGAGCGAAGGATTTGCCCGATCGCTCAATTGAGTAGTCTCAAAGCAAGGGGGAAAATTTTGAGGGAAAAGAAAAACTGGGTGGTGAAACAGATGCGAATTGAAGAAAAAAATACATAAGATGGTGGCTACTCTTCATGTAGCTGGTATCACAGGAACACGGTTTGTCAGTTCAATAGGGTGTTTCATAATTAAAATATTGGGCCCAACTCGTGCCCCAACTCGGGCCTCAACTTTCATGAAGTTGAGGCCGGAGTTGAGGCATAAAATCGAAGTTGGATGTCAAGTCGTGCATAAGACCATGACTTGACATCCAACTTCTGCCCCAACTTCGGCTCTGGCGCATCGTTTGTTATGTAAGGTGATACGCGAAACCTAATTCTGCCTCAACTTCGGAGTTGAGACAGAAATATCTGTTTAGGTGTTTCACGAACAACGCCTCAACTTGTGCCTCAACTAGGCTCCAGTTGAGGCCAAATTGGGGCATAAGTTGAGGCATGAAATCGGAGTTGGATGTCAAGTCGTGCCTAAGACCACGACTTGACATGCAACTTCTGCCTCAACTTCGTACCTCAACTTCATGCCTC